AGGGGGGGGGGGGGAGGCGTAAGTGTTTTACGGCGCTCGCAACTGCATAAGGTCATATGGGCGCGCGGGACACACCAAATTTTTTTCTGTTGATAGGAAATTTTGAATGTTGCCCGGGTGGCGGCCGAAGCATGTTCTTATCGATTTTGGATCACCAAGGGATCCACGTGCGCAGCTTGCACAGGGACCTCCGAGATTTTTCGCCCTTGTCCGAAAAGACTATGTGTAGATCTTACCTACCATAAGATCAGGGGTGTGGCTGAAAGATGGCAGTAAGGAGGGGCCGAGGAGAAGCAGAGGAAAGGCTGCAGAAAGAGTCGGTAGCCCAGAGGAGGGGGCAAAGGAAGGAAGGGGTGGCGGGCAGAAAGTGGAGACGAAAGGAGACAACAGAACATTGTTAGAGAGTAGGAAAGGATGTGAAAGGAAAAAAATTTAGAGAAAAAAATATTCCGTCGCTATACGGATTTGAACCCGGGACCTATTGAATGAGAGACGATCCCTTTAACCTCTAGGCCACGAGAGCTCCCCCCCCCCCCCTCCCCGAATCCCTAACTGAATTAAATGAATCTGATTGGCAGAGTGCGCTTGATATGAAATGGACCTGATATGCATGATCAGATCGAATTCGTTGGATCGATTAGTGGCGACCGCCATGCACATTATTTCAAATTTGGTTTGCTTCATCAGATTTGACCAGGGTGTCCAGTGGGGCCTCTCGCATTCCACAAGCTAATAAAATAATATCTGACCCTGCAATGTGTATTGGCCTACTGGTCGCTTGTTGTGTTCATCAAACGTATCAAACACATAAAGTGGTGACCAAAAGAAAAGAAGAGAACAGGGTTGATTCTGAAAGATCTGATCGAATACGCCAAAACGATAGCTTTTGCCACCCGGAAAGGAAAAACAGAGCAGTCCTCAAAAGTATCAAATGTATCAAATGCATCAAGTGTATCAAATGGAGATCTGACGAAACCTATCTGCAACGTGCAAATGGTATAAATTAGATGTGGTTGGTTTTAAGGCCAGCATTCTCACTTCTTCTTGTTAGTTGATGTTTGCCTCGGATTTCAAGTAATGGCATGCTAGTTTCGAACTGTGTACCCCCGTAAATGATGATTAGGTAAGGAATAATGTGTGAGTTAGCCAAGTGCGTGTTCTTTCAAACCGTGTTCTACCTGCGTTGCATAACAGGTTGTGGGAAGGCATCACTGGGAGGTCCTACTTTTTTCACTTTCCATCTGTTGTTTTAATGTCTGTCTGATTTACTTTTCCCAGCACTAAAGGGCCATTATTGTGTCGATGTTCTTCTCTTTACTCATACAAACAAATAAACAAACAAACGAACGTTTCCGTGTGTCCTTGTTCTCGCATTTATAATTTGCAAGAGTAATAATCACTTTGTCCACCCCTCCCCACCCCACCCCACCCCCTGAAAAATAGATCACAAGCGTCATTCTAGAAAGTCGTCACGGTAATTCACAAAATATTATGGTCCCTCATAAAAGAAATGGAAACCCCAAATGTGTGCTGCAGGTCGAATAAATTCCCAAAGAGAGGGCTCAAATTTTGTTTTACACGCAACTGAACATCGAGAACGGGAAATCTCTCTTCAGATTTCTCTACACTCGTTATTTTTTCTTTTGTTTTTGTAAAGTGTTTTACGGCGCTCGCAACTGCATAGGTCATATGAGCGCGATGGACACACCTAATATTTTCAGTTGGTAGGACATTTTGAATTTTGCCCGGGTGGCGGCCGAAGCCTACTCTTATCGATTTTAGACCACCAAGGGATCTTTAACGTGCGCAATTTGCACACGGGCCCTCCGAGATTTTTCGCCCTTGTCCGAGAAGGCTAGGTGTAGATCTTTCCTACCAGAAGATCAGGGGTGTGGCAGAAAGACAGCAGTAAGGAGAGACCAAGGAGTAGCAGTAGAAAGGCTGCAGAAAGAGTCAGGAGCCCAAAGGAGGGGGCAAAGGAGGTGAGGGAGTGGGGGCAGAAAGTGGAAATGAAAGCAGACAACAGAACATTTCTAGAGAGCAGGAAAGGAGGTGAAAGGAGACAATTTTAGAGAAGAAAATGTTTTGGTCGCTACCCGGATTCGAACCCGGGACCTTTGAATGAGAGGCCAACACCTTAACCTCCAGGCCTAGAGAGCCCCCCTACACTCGTTGTAAGCTCGCGAGTTTTACACCCTTTCAGGACCATGTTCGTGACAATACCATTTTACAACCTGGACTGTGACGGATATCGCAGCGACATTCCAGTGGTATGTCTTGACATAATTTCATCAGTTGAGAACCGAACTCGCGTCTTTCGTGTGCAAGACGTAGAACCTGAACTTTTCATCAGAGATGCCGGAGTGGAATTTATTTTCGGGTACATAATAATATATATATATGAACCCGGAATGTCTGCCTGTTTTTGTTGTTTGGTGTGGAATCTTATTTGTAAACGTGATGCGAAATCAGTTGGTATTGTGTGGTAAGTAGTGTTTGGATGACCTTGATTCGAATCCCATGTGGGGTATTTTTTTGTCATTACCGGCAGGGCATGCGTGACCTTACTTTGATTTTGGGACTCTCCTAGTGTCTCAAACAACTTGTCTTGCTCCTATTACAATCACAATTTGATTTTCGTACAGGGCTCAGAGCTTTTTTCCTAATGGAATAAAACGCTTTTTGCAATGCTTTTTACTACCATCATCATCATCAGTAGCAGCAGCAGTAGCAGCAGTAGCTCCGGTCGAAGTAACTGGGGAGAGAGTGAGCAATGGTTATTAAAACCAATCCTAAAAAAACAGTGGTCTGATCTTAATTGCATCAATTGAGGCATAAATCCACCTAAATCAATAACAAAACAACCACAAAATCAACTATGACGACCACGACGACAACAACAACAACAACAACAACAACAACAACAACAACAACAGCAACAACTACGAAAACAACAACAAAGAAACAACAATAACAAAGACAACAGTGATCTCAGCAACAACATTTCTACTTAACAAATGGATGTCCGACGTTTTAAACCCGATCCGTCTACACTAAAACCGTACCGACACCTCTATTGTCATCCGCCCCCTCGGGCGTTACTCCAACCTTTTCAGTCCGTGCCATTCACTCACCCCTAGAGTCCTAGAGGCTTCGTGATTGAGTGTACTCAGACTGGTCGCAAAGTGCAAAGAACAATTGTGAGGCAGCGTGGTGGAATCAGACTCTCGTCAATTTTTGGGCATGTAGAGTTATTGGTATCATCTTAAAGCTTGTTCACTTTATTTAGTTGAAAAAATGTCCATATTAAATCTTTTATACAAGTCGAGATATTTGCAAAAGAAGGAGGTGGGGGTCACCTGTTTTCAGAGGTAAAATTAGTGGGAAAATGGCCGCCAAAGATTTGTTATTTCCTTAGCTTAAGATTCTGCGGTAACTGAAAAAATGTTCCTTTTTGTGCCTTTAATCAACACTTTTCAGAAAAATCCACACAGAAACGAATTCTTTAATGGGCATGATAGGTGTTGAGCCAAAAAACAAAAATTTGACAAAAATTCTAAAAGTCTGTGGAAAAATGCGAGTTTCTTCACTTTGATTATTTTGAAGAGAGCCTGATTTAATCATGCTGCCTCGCAATTGTGTCAAGACGTCGTGGAATCGGGCTCTCGTCAATTTTTGGTCGCTTTAAAGTACAAGAGGGCTATCCCGAAAAAATGCTGATTTGATCAAAATCGAGGGTAAAGTTTTTACCTCTTGTTCAGTTTCTTTAAAAGACAAGGAAAGTTTTCTCTATAACCAAACAAATATACACACCAATGAAACTAAACTTCTCCTACAGGTAGGGCAATGCCCACTTTTGGTGTAGGTCAAGGTTTCGGGAAGCCCCCGAAATATGGGTTATCCCGCTTGTACTTAAAAGAGACCAGTTATTGGTATCATCTTAAAGCGTGTTTATTTGTCTTGCTTCGGATGAAAAAATATCCATTTATCCTGAATACAAGATATTTGCTAATGAAGGAGATGGGGGTCACCTGGTTTCAGAGGTAAAATTAATGACAAAATGACCGCCAAAGATAAGCTATTTCCTTAGCTTGAGAGACCGTGGAAGCTGAAAATTAACTCCTTTTTTTGTCTTTAATCAACGTTTTTTAGTAAAAATCCAAACATAAATGTGTTCTTTAATGGGAATTAAAGGTGTTGAGCCAAAAACCAAAAAAAAGAAAAAAGAATTCGAAAGAAATTCACAAATCTGCGGGAAGATGCAAGTTTCTTCACTTTGATTTTTTAATGAGCACCTGACTTCATCGATCACGCTGCCTCACTATTGTTGGGTAAAAGGGTCACTCCACGACAAATGAAACTGCAGGTAGGGACGCGCAAGGCTGAGATGATGACCACCTGAAAAAAAAATATAAGCAATAACAGAGCCATTATTTTGTTCGTTGGTTTGTTTGTTTGTTTGTTTGTTTGCAGTTCTATTTTTTATTTGATAGTGCAACCTACCTCTACCACCCCACCATTCCACGAAAAAAATCACTCTGTCAATGTTTAGAAGTTTTGTTCAGCATGATGCCACCATCCCTGCTTAACGTATCACCTCAGATTTATTGCATTTTTCATGGTTAGGCACGAATACGTGTGTGTTCTCCACCCCCATCCCACCCCGCCCTATCTCCAAATCTCAATTCTCCTCTCAACCTTACCCCCACCCCACCCCACGCCACTTTGTGAGCATCTTCCTTTTGACAACATCATGATCTCCTTTTTCTTAAGATTATTATGTTTGTTTAATCGCAAGTTTGCTAGTTCGTTATTATATTTTGGTGTTCGTCTCGGTGGGGGGGGGGGGGAGATTTTTGTTTCAAGTCCGACCAAAGATGAGAGGGGAAAGAACTGGATTTTTAAATACTTATATTGCACAGTCCAAATTGTGCTACTTTTGATATTTGCTTTCCTTGGGGCTGAAAAAAGAAACTGTTTTAGGTTGAGGGGGGTGGGGGGTTGTTGTTGTTTTTTGTTGTTTTGTTTTTGTTGTTGTTGTTGTGGGGTTGTTGTTGTTTGGTTGGGGGCTTTTTTTTTGGGGGGTGGCCTATCATGAAAATGTTGATATACCTGTTAATAGTAAAAATCCAGTCCTTATGTTTTCTGGCTAGCCATTGCTTGTCAGCTTGTTTATAGCCAGCGCCCACTTTGCCACCTTTAAGAGACTAATACGTTCTAACCACCCACCTGCATGTATCTCCAAGCGGTCATAAAATAACACCTACCGTTACCAGAGTGATCCCACTGCCTACTAAATCTGCCAAATCGCCAATGAGGGGGCGAAACTGCCCTGGCTTGCTAGCGCTGGTGAAAACCATGCTTTGCCCTACGTTACTGCGGATACTCTCCATAAGATAATCCTCAAGTGCGACCATGCAGTGCTTCCTACAACTACTGTTACTCTTAATCGTGTTGAGAAACTAGGATAATGGTAATAATGACGATAATGATAATGATAATGTATAATAATAAAACTAATAGTAATATAATAATGATAACAACAACAATAATGATAACACTGATGATAATAATAACAATGACAATAATAATAACAACAATAACGATAATAAAGAAGGAAAAAACAGGAGGAGGAGGAGGAGGAGGAGGAGGAGGAGGAGGAGGAGGAGGAGGAGGAGGAGGAGGAGAAGAAGAAGAAGAAGAAGAAGAAGAAGAAGAAGAAGAAGAAGAAGAAGGAAGAAGAAGGAGGAAGAAGAAGAAGGAAGAAGAAGGAAGAAGAAGGAAGAAGAAGAAGAAGAAGAAGAAGAAGAAGAAGAAGAAGAAGAAGAAGAAGAAGAAGAAGAAGAAGAAGAAGAAGAAGAAGAAGAAGAAGAAGAAGAAGAAGAAGAAGAAGAAGAAGAAGAAGAAGAAGAAGAAGAAGAAGAAGAAGAAGAAGAAGAAGAAGAAGAAAAAGAAGAAGAAAAGGAAGAAAAAGAAGAAGAAGAAGAAGAATCCCCGCTCATCAGCAAGCTCCCATGCGGTTTATAACCTATATTATGCTATATCCCCAGCAGGCCTGATAGCATTCTAAAAACAACCTCAACTTCATAGGAAGCATAAAGTGTAAGCTTCCATTTTTATAGGCAGTAAAACAGTAATATACTGACAAGGTCTTTTGCTGTCTATGGCTGGGTACCCATTCTGACCTTGGTGAAGTGAGAAAAATTTGTATAAAGTGCCTTTCCCACGGACACAACGTGGGGCCTGAGGCAGGAACCCTGGAACTTACAACCTCACGATTACGAGTCAGGCAGACTAACCACAAGGCTACCGACGTCATAAGAAACATGCAATACACAATACTGGTGGCCTTTGGGTTTTTTTTAATTGTACTTTGCTTTTGAGAGGTTGCTGTGGCAGAGCGGTTAGTGAGCTCGTCTCCGAAGCGGAAAGTCTGGGTTCGAGCCTCGGTTCAGACAATAATTTTTTCTCCCCCTCCTGCCCACCCAGCAGTAATGGGTACCTGATTTCGAGTTGGGGAAGTAAAAGCGACGTGGAAAGGAATTTACTGGCCACCCTACCACAATAATACGCCGAAGGCCCAGGAAGCTGTCTCACTAACAAAGCAATCCCCAATATCTGAATCGGATGTGGGAACAACTTTACTTTACTTTGCTTTTGAATTAAACAGAAAGTATACCTGCCTTTGCGATCTAGGGCATAAGCACTTCGTCGTTATACGGAGAAGATAAAAGTTCGATTTAATGTGAAGATACTTTTTATTGCTAATTTTTATCTGTCTACTGCAAAGATCTGTAATTTTCAGCCCGGGTTGGCCTTAGCAGGCATTGTCGAAGCAGCCCTGTTTCTAAATTACCTAAATTGTTTCCTTGTGTATTTAAAGCGTCAACAAATAAATACATACAAGGCAGCACTCATTATGACGAAAACACACCTTGTCACACCTTATCCTCAGTGTTGGGGTCACTACAGTCGGAACATGTCCATCTCTGCTCTCCCCCTCCCCCCTTCTTCAGGATCCATCCCAGAGTCTGTCTGCTTACAGTCTCCATCATAATCTGGTTGGAGATCTGTCGGACTGATCAGCACAGGTGGCTGTTTCATTACGACGAAAATCTGATTTTATACTCTTGATTTTGTCGTCGCCAGCTGCCCTGAGCTGAATTTAGGTCGTGTGGGGGGGGGGGGGGAGACATTACCTGTAAGTACTTTACATCTCTATCGATACATTTAGAGATCATTTTAGAGGGGGGATTCGATCTTGCCTGTC